AGTATTCCTTCTTTCCCTCGCATTGAAGAAAGGCACGCAGCAGAGAGACGTTAAAAGAGCTTGATTATTATTATTTACTAGAAAAGTCTTTATATTAAATTGAAGACGGTATAGTCAGTTTACGAAATCAAACTCAACAAAAATCATTGTACCGTAAATATTTGTATATATGAAGCGTCGCGCTGTGATCCAGTTACACTGTGATTGTACCCGCGCAAGGCACAGTAGTGCAGCCAGCGCACCGTGCCTCCGCAATCACTGCGTCTCGAGAGCTATCGACTGATATACCCGAGTTCTACCTATAGCTTACTTAGGTATTTCTTCCACAAACACGCCCGGTACTGAACGGAACAGCTCGTTAAACTGAGAAATTGTCAATAATTGGAAATGCTGTCGTACTCTAGTTATGTTGTTGGACAACTAAAATATGATTTAACAAACGATTTATTGAGAGGGATTTTCATAAATATTAAATTCTTACTTATTATTTTCTATGAACATGACGACGATAAATAAGCAAGTAATTTTATATTGTTTCTTGATTAAATAATATGTCTTATTTTATAAATATTTTAATTTGTTTTTCTTAGTAAAGAAACAGAGATGTAAAGTTTATGAATTTAAATACAGACAGAGTATAGAGCTAATTACCCGATTCTGAAAATTCCTTTACGTAAGAAGCCACATTATCCTCGCTTCTATCCTCGTTTCTTACGCTACATTTTAATCCAAATACAAATATTTTCTGTGGGCTATTAGTTACTAAATTGCAAAAAGCTATTAAAATAAAGGTGAGGAGTATTACTGCGTTAATAAAATAAGAGCGAGTCACTATATTTAATTTATATAAAAATTATATATTTAAATTATACATACATAATACGTTAAATATTTTTTGAAAAATGAAATCTAATTGTCAAGTTTTTTACCTATATAGCAAGCAAAGGAGAACAGTCTTTTGAGATACCGTTTTATAAAAAGGAAGCTGCGCGCCGCCGCCACTGACGTAACCCAGAAAAAATAAACACTTTCTATAAAAATAACAAATAAATAAATATAATTTGTTCGTTCATGAACCACATGACGACAACGAACGAGTACGAATAACGTTGATATAAGCCTATTAAATTTTGGAACGTATACATTATTAATATAATTAATTGCAGGTTTCAAATTAATTTCATTGAATCAATAATTCGATGTTTAATTATAGGATTAAAAATTATTACTGTATTTATTAGAGTGAATTTAAAGATCGACTGGTTGGCCGCTATGGTGGAGTAGCGCTCTTATAAAGCATCTGGTACGGGGAACTTATTTTATAAGAAACGGCCCAAAGGAAAGCCTCAAACTATTCTTACAAATCTGTACTTAATAATTTCAGTAATTGTATTACCATAAAAAATAATGTTACCATATTAAAATTAAAAAAAAAACCTCCAACACAAAAACTACTAAATCAATTTTGATAAAACATGTCTAAGAACAGGTAAAAAACCTCAATCAAAATAAAAAAACCGCATCCAAATCGGTTAAACCATTTAAGGATCTTAAATGGTTACGAGCTACAGTGTCACAGACAGACATACACATGTAGCGGTCTAACTTATAATACCCCTCTTTTTGCGTCGGGGGTTAAAAATATAAGAGAAGAAGTAAAAACGAATAAGAACAGCTAAAATTTTACAAAAATATTTGTAAAAAGCTATATAAATTCTAAATACGCTTCGAAAAATATGTTTGTATACTAGAGAGACACAAAGTATACAATATATATAAATATAAAGAATAACCAACAAGTGATAAATTAAAAATTTAAAAAACCCCCGACCGTCTTGGACCGACATCAAAATTGGATCTTCATCAAACATAGCTACGAACACTCCCGACTAATTCACCTTTCAAACAAGAAAATAAACAAAATCAAAATCGGTTCATCCGTTTGGGAACAACGAGGTCACAGACAGAACACACACACACGCCAAACTTATAACACCCTGTCGTTTTTGCGTTGGGGGTTAAAAACACGCGAAAATTAATTCGATTTTGATGAGCATTTTATGCGAGTAGGGACAGGGCACAGACAGCGGGTCGCGAGACACGGCCAAGAGTTATGTACTGGGATTTAGGGCTATCCATACAATCCTTACATTCGTCACGGCGACAGGTTAATACCGGGGTGATGGAGTATGCCGAAGGGCGACCTCATAAGACACACAAAATAATCTGTTACTAAGTACTGCGCGGGATCGCTATTGATTGTGACTTTAAATTATTATAATGTTAGAATACTCGTACATACATGGAGTAAATGCATTTAGTGAAGACAACGTCAATACGATAAATAATATGGGTGCCTTAGAAGAGACTATTGACGGCTAACTTTCTCGCAATGAGACTGTCGATATATTTTAATCCTTCCAGCTTCTGATCAAAATTGATTGAAGATTATTAAATTATTAACTTCTGATTATATTCAAAATAGCAACGGACCCATTTTTTAATGAATACATTATAACCTTAAAGGTCTCACATAATACTAAGAAAAAACTGTAAGGGTGTAATTAATTATTATTTTTAATTATATCTTTTTCAATTACCAACAATAATTACTTTTTTTACTGTCTGATTAATTATATATATACAAAATAAACACCGCACAAGTACATAGGTCTGAACGTAAAGAGATACTTCATTGGTGCAAAACTAATATTTAAGTGGAGCTGTATTGATAATAATAATTTAAGTTTACATAATACTTTCTTCGATTTACGCAAATATTTGACATTTTAAATAAAACTATCTTTTCGGAATTTTTCGCGGATTTATTTGGATTTTCGGTTCCCGATGTATCGAATGCTTTACAGCAATCAAGGTCACGGGAGAGACTGAGGTGTTAAAGCCATAGAAATTAAAAAACATCCAAATTTTAATAGGGAAGATGGCTGGGTACTACCATCGTCATGGGATCCTATTATTAATATAATAAAATCAAATAATAAATCTAAACATAACAGACAGGTAGATGTAGTAAGTTCTTACTGTGTGGATTAAAATGACAGCATATCAGATTAATATTTTTCATTTTTCATTTGTAAAAGTATATAGTAATAGTGTTGCTTAGTAAATTGTCTTTTTAAATAATAGCAAACGAAATTAAAATTATTATCCTTAATTAATTTTAACTTTTTAAATTACACATAAATACAAATACAATTATATGGCTTAAATAATTAATACTACATTTTATATTTTTCTTTATGGTTATAAATATAATAATGGCAACACTATATTACTAATTAATATTTTTAAAATTGTAATAAAAACAGCAAAAATTAAATAAATAATATTCCATATTCAATTATAAAACTAATCAAAATTATAAAAATGTTTAAAGTTAAAAATATTGTCAGGTAATTGGTGCAATTTTCATTTTGTTATTTGTGGGTAGGCTGTCTGTAACAACTATACCTTCGAGACATCTAACACCTCAGTCTCTGCCGTGACCATGATTGCTGTAAAGCATTTAAAACGTCGGGAACCATAAATCAAATAAATCGGCGAAAAAATCCAAAAGATATTTTTATTTAAAATTTAAGTTTACTTAAAGGCACTTTAAAGGGTATCGTTAAAAAGTTGTTTGCACTTACTAGCATCCACGTCTAAAGACCAGCTCATACGATAAGCTAAAGCTCTGTAATTATTTATGAATTTAACTGCATATTATATTATTTTGTAAATTATGATACTGAATTTAGGTTTCCTTAAAATGTTTGAAATATCTCTGAGTAACTGAGTGTAGATTTCGTTCGTTGAGAGTATCAAGTAAAATAAATGTATAGGATATTTATTTACATTTACAAAGTATTCCGTGACGAACTCAAACTCTGCTTTTCATTCTCATGTATTGATTGTTCCTACAGGATATACTTATGTAAAAAACATATTGCAATATAATAAAAGTACAGACCGCGGGGCGTACTGGCAATCTATGTGAAGTCAGGACGAGTCACTACTTATTCAATTATTTAGTAAAGTTTTGTTTTTATTTATGATTCTGCAGTCACAGTAATATAGGATCTTATAAATAGTATGACTTAAAATAGGTACGTCATACAGACGTGCTCTAAGGTAACGTGAGAGGTGTCTGCGTCGTTATAAAGTAAAATCTTCATATAGCCTCACCTCGCGCAGATGGTATTGTCCATTCACTTGTATTGACCACAGCGGTATCATGAAATATTTGTTTTGGCTAACAAAATTACGATGCTTGTACTTTATTCTTAATAATAAGTCCAGTCCAGTTTATCACTTTTCACCTCAGTCTTATTTAAGCTATTCTGTTTTTTGTACTGTTTCAGAACAATCCGAGGAACATACTAGTTTAATAGAAGGTAAGCTGTGCGAAAATGTGGAAATATATAGATCACTCAAAAGCAAAGCTTAAATTATTTAGCAACTTAAAAAGTTTAAATTAACGAATAAAATGTACCTACCTGCCTGGGCCAGCTAAGTGAAGCTGCGATCTATCATTCTTTCAATTAACTATGTACTTAATTAAACACTTAACATTCCTTCCCAAATTACAAAGTTTTATCAAAAACTTTTGATAAAATATAAACTGCAGGGCGAAGTTCTGCTCTTTAATAGGAAAAAGTCACTTTACACTCGTATCGCTAAGTTTATTTTTCAAACATTATATAAATGTCGCTTCTTCAAAAATGTCATAAAGTGCACTACAGTCAATTAATTAATCACTTACTCATCATCGCCTCTCAGATATAATCTATTGTTTACCGCGATTTTTTTATATATTTTCCATACACAATCTGTCAAAAATATTAATGCAAAGCTTTTGAGTAATGCCAAACCTAACCTGTAAATAAATAATTTATGAGTATTGTTATACTATCTTTCACTTTATAAATTATTTTACTACTTGTAACTTGTACTTCATACCTTGTCCTAAAGGCTATCATTAAAATATTTATTCACGTCTAAAATTTTTCCAATCCATCAGCTCGCCGACTGCAAAACGAAAGATCCACAAAGACGAAATGGGGAGCACCTTTTTGGCAGTCAGTATAAAGGCGCGTATTACTTACGGTAAAACATCCAAAAATCTGGCAATCTGGTATTATCAGTGTCGTGTGAAGTAGGACAAGTGTCCGGGCGCGGAGGGCGCCGCCGCCGCCGCCCTCGGGCCGCTCGTGTTTACTGATATTGCCTCTGATACCGTCTTGTACTATTTGCATTTACATTTCAACTACATTTCCGCACATTTTGTATACCTTTAAGCCATCTTCTGCGTTTAGCAAGCATAGTTTACGTTATCTATCGATGTTAGAAAAAAAATTTGAGGGTGGTGCTCCACTATTTGCTATAAAATTTATACTACATAGATAATTCTGTTTCTCGAAATCGATAAGCTAATAACTTGTCAATAATAAAGTACTAACTAGTAAATATGTAAAGAAAATAATGCCCACTTTTATTTGATGTATATATTAAAAAAAATATAAAACATTATACAATAAATATATAAATAAATAAATAGTCCGATGTAAATTTTAAGAACACACGAAGAGTTCATTTGGCCATATATGTACGAGATTAGTTAAATAAGCTAAGCTTCTCTACAACAAATGAACGTTTTATATAAAGATTCACTATAAACAAATGAATTCCCCCCGTAAGCGCTTTACACGAAGCTAGAAGCAGGCCGTTCCTACCGAAAACCGAACACAGCCAGGTTATTAAATCTCCAGAAGGCACGCACGCTGGACTCGTACTAATGGGATTATTTGGGAACGTTATCAATTAACATATTCGCCGGATTAAGCGCGACGGACGGGCGGTCGTTCGGATCTCACAGGTTTGGGAATTGGGAATAAAAGCTTACTTTTTCACAGATTACTTACATTTTTATTTTTAAAAACCTTTTTTTGGTTTCTATTTTTTTATTACTCTTCTTCTTAATAATTATCAATAAGGGAAAGTTTACCACTAAGGATGGAATAAGTACTTTTAAGTAAGTCTAAAGTAAATTCAGTGTACCTTTTTTTTCTCATACACTAATATCCCAAAGTAATCACTTGTCGGTCGTTGCTTCGCTGCTGCTCCACTGTCGCGTTATAAAAGTAGTAAGAATTTTGCATTCAGTACAGTGTACCTGTAGTGTATAATGTAGGAATGAGATATGGTTGTAATGTTGAAAAGTTCTACAATGGCTAATACACCAATAGGTCGCCACTTAATAGAAGAAGGGCGCAGCGTAATCAAGTTGTAATGGAAGTTCAAAGATGCCGACAGCCTTCCACTCACGGCTTGTTGCTCTCGACACACGATCTCTTTATTAACGTGTTACGATTCTTCCTACTGGTTTATTGGGTCTTACTATCTTATTGCTTACTTCATATTGTAAACGGCAGAAAGCGCTTTTGTGTTGGTTCTTTTATAAAAAACAGTGAAATAGATCGACATGATTTTTGAATAGACTGTAGCTGAAGTAATCCTGGTCAGGTTTAACTTTATTTTACAAAAGTACTGGTGAATGCGGAGTACGTAAAAGTACGTAGCGAAAGATAGAAAAAATCGATAGCTATGATCAGTTTAAATTCTGCGTCAAATATTCAAAGTTTCATCGCAAATTACGCGTCTCATAATTTTAGGTACAAAGAACAATTTTTATCAAAGTTGTATAACCATTGCTCTTCTTGGTACCTCGCTGAGTCTCACTCTGTAAGGTATCTAGTAATATGTCGATTATTTTTATATATCGCGTAATTTTCTTAGCAACACTTTTGCGCTCATTTCTTTGATGGTGCGTTCAGTCGTGTATGGGGATGTATCAATTCAGAGAAAATTTATTGTTTTACAATTTCTTTGAAAGTCACTGGAGAGTCTACAAATGTTCTCCTCTTTGAACATAAAGAGTAAGCTTAACAGTTAAATAAGGAAATTCAAACTAATACAATAATAAGCTTTAAACATTAAATATCTTGAAATATGGCATAAGAACTTCCTTATATAATTCCAGAGACAATGGAACGTATCGTTCGTTTGTTAGCAAAAAGTTCGCATCGAAATGAGAAATATGCAAATGCAATCTATTAAGAGCTAAAGTTCGGACAAAGTTTAATTATGTATATCTGTTCCCTCCCCATTGTTTGCTGAGACAGTTTTAATTTATCAGTAATTGCTATTAGAGAATGTATTTTAAGGACCTTTATAGAGAGAACAAAGGAAAATATATCAACTAACTTCTCTCCGTGACGTTTCTTGCCCGAAAGTGTAATTTCCTAAGCAGTATTTATGTACACATTCTTTTAGAATTTTGAATACATAATTGTTAACGGCATTTCGTATCCTTTAGAACAATTTTGGTTTCATACCAAACTTCATATTTATTTCAAATGATAAACTTGCCAGAAAAAAGTTAACTAATGCAATTATACCTACTTCTGTAGTTACTTTAACTTCATTCTAAAACTAAAGTATCAAGTAATCATATCACAGAATTCGGTATGTCCCTTAGAAAAATCTTTACACCGTTTTTTCCAGCTCATTGTTTACAAAGCACATAAGAAGGTAGAATCGGTAAAACTGTCCCTTTCTATTTATAAAATTTATAATAATAATGATAGTTACGAGATAAAAATTAAATATATGAAACTACATACACGTTTGGCTCAGTTTGTAGTGACCCTACTTGCTGTGCCAGCGGCCGCGGGTTCGAGTCCCTCTGCGAGCATTCATTTGTGTGATGAACATATTTTAAAGAAAGTGTTAATACTAGATAGAATACTTGATCTCTAGAAGAATGCTACTGTCTACGCACTTAATACAAATATAAAAAAAAACCTAAAAAAGACACATTTTAACTTTAACATATAGGGTTGGTCAAAACGAATAAAATGATGGGCTCGTCAACTCGAACACTTTACTAATAGATACTCAACCGCTCCGCTATTCATCATGGTATTGTCATATTGTATTGTCGTGCGGGTTTCAAATACAAATTTTTAAACCAATGCAACAATTAAAAGTCAGTTAAAAAAGATTTACATATTCTATTATATAGTTAGAAGTGAATGTTAATGGAATCTTTTTGGATTTTTTCGCGAATATATTTTTATTTTTGGTTACCCTTATTTCGAATGCTATACAGCAATCATGGTCAAATTAAAGATAGTTAAATAAAGATAGTTTTATTTAAAATGTCAAATAAGTGTTAGCGCAAAATGCAAATAATAAAGTATTAAATAATATTAAAAGAGCAACTCTACGGACAGCCGCTAGTTAAAATCTGAAAGCAAGACAATTAAGACAAGAAGCAACACGGTAAAGTAGTGGCCAAGTACGTCCCGGCGGGACAGCCTGCAGTTTGAGCAGTACCTGCTTGTTTCGAAGTCATAGAATATTATATCGCTGTCTTATCTAAAGTAGCGCCATCACGGAGCTATTTAATAATGAGCTACCCACTGCCAGCCGAAATTTCACTCTTTGTTCTACCTAGTAAGGGTACTGCTTAAAATATTCATTCAATGTGTCTCAGCAATGTACTGAAAACTAATATATTACTTTTTAAAGTAATGTATGACAACTAAAATAAAAACGTCAACTGCGATAATGTCAGAAATGTGACGTAGGGTTCCGTACGACATGGAGATTTAAAGAGAGAATCTTAAAATGATAAAAAATATTCACTTTAGTTCTTTTATCAAAAGTCACATCATTCAATATAATTTAAAATTATGAACTAGTCACTGTGAGATTCTTACAAAACTGATAATAATTATAAGAAAAAAGTAAATTATAGGAAGAAAAATTGAAGTTGTTTATATAACATCTAATATTAAACATGTCTGGTAAGTCGGCTCGCACGGGATCTTTTCTATGTGTAAAATATATTCGTATTTTCCACATTATTACCTTAATCCTAGCGTGCCTTTCTAATGTGGTTTTTCATCACAGAAAATTTCCCATTCCCTTCACGTTTTACATGTATACGTGTTTTTTCCAATCCACCTAATACTCGATGTACGCAAGTCGACTTCTGCGCTTCGCGAGACAGGTGTCATACAAGAGCCCCCGCGAGCGTAGGATTTCTTGTAAATTGCATTCATTTTCCTTCCCCATTGTGGTTTGCACTTTCATGGGAAATGTCATCGGTAATATTAGATTGAGCTCTTCCGTGCCGCAATCGTTTGCGAGCACATTCTGACCTACTATTGTTTTATCTGTGTCATACGTGTAATAAAATGGTAACTCGCATGTTCCGCGCCACGCTCCCTCACTCGCGTAATTTAAATGTAAAACTTCATAAGTGTGAGTTATTTGCGGCGTCTAGAATGAATATCAAAACAAAGGAAAGCATTGTTTTAAAAAAATCTTATTTTTTTTATGTCATAAATATATTTAAGAAAATATACAAACATTTTCTCTGCTCTATCAACAAAATTACAGGGGCTAAGATTTCAAAATATATTTAAATGTTTGTACTCCTTTGTAGTCATGGGTGTTTATATTTGTAATGTGTATGTATTTAAAGTTATATATGTGTAGTGTAACTATCTGGTATCCATAACACAAGCCTCGTAGCTTACCATGGAACTATATGGTGCTGTGTGTTAATGTCCCAAAATTAAAAAAAATTGTAATTTGTACAAATATCAGTTTATTATAATCATGATAAAATTTTCTGATATATAGTTAAACGTCGAGAACATAAAATTTAGAGCAAGAAACTAGAAAAAGAAATATTGACAACTTCAAAACCATTTTTTATCAAAGCTCCGACTCACGAAAGAAATGAGAGTTTCGTACATGACTCTGTCAAGCAAGCCTGACTCGAGATTACTATCAAATACTTAATGTAAAAAAAATTAATTTTATATTAAAATGTTATTTTTTTAATAAATAAAGTAAAACTTCCCAAGACCATAAAACGGCACGCCGCGCCACGAGGCGGGAGCAGTCGCGGAGGTCGCGTGAGTGATTACTTCGGGAACTCGTATTGAGAAAGCGAATGACTCGGCCAATTTTACTCTCACAAAGCATCTCACTTTTAGTTTCTTTACCTTTAAAAGCTTTATTCGGCGCGAAGACAAAAGGAACTGGAACTGGACGATCCTTTACAGCGTAATGTTTTTGCACCTTTGTGAGTTGCCTTCATTGTTACCGAATCTCGTGATCCAGGCTTAGATTGTCGGCACAACAAGATAGATTAAAATGCGTGGGACTCGGCTCGACT